ATTCTAATTACTCAAGAGGATGAAGTAGGATTGTGAGTTCAATGTTAGTCTGGACTACACAATGAGGCCCAGTCTCAAACCAAACTTAGCAACCTTATAAAACATGAAAAAAAAGAAGTAGGGAGAGGAACTTCTTCCCTCAAGTCAAGATGTGCCCTGAAGCACTGGGAATGAATCCCATGGGGTGAGCGGTAGAATCCTGGAGACCCCAAAGCAGAGGTAGGGGTTGGGGACAGAGCACTCTACACACACTGGCCAAGTTGACCAGTGATGCTGGAACACCCAGTTCTTCACACAGGAAAACATGAGCTGGAATTATTTTCTCACATCCCAACACAAACATTATCCAGATGGATGGAAGGCCTGCTATCAGCCAACAACAGGCCTTTAGGGAATATCCCATGACCTCACAGTAACTTATGTAGACATGAGCCCAACCAAGCAGTGCTGGAATAGAGTGCAGATACTTTGGGAGCTTCACTAACTTGCCAGCTTAAGCGTCTGGTACCCAGGCCACACAGCAAGAGCTTGAAAGTCAGGAAGGCCAGGATGAATGAACCATTACTAAAAAGAAAATGAAAGGTTGTAGTCAGAGAGGATAGGCTATGTTCTCTTTTCAGAAGATGCCTCAGTGGTTCTCTTAAATATAGTAACTGCTCAAGCCAAGAATGGACCAGGAGGGCTGGAGAGATGGCTCAGAGGTTAAGAGCACTTCTTCCAAAGTGTTTCTTCCAAAGGTCCTGAGTTCAATTCCCAGCAACCACATGGTGGCTCACAACCATCTATAATGAGATCTGGTGTCCACTGGCCTGCTGGCTCACATGCAGTCAGAATACTGTATAAACAATAAAAAAAATAGAAAAAAAAAAAAAAGAATGGACTAGGAGTCAGAGTGAGCAAAGCGTCAGGGAGACTCAGAACTGCCAGCAGGCTGTTAATGTCTTGGAGCAAAACTTAGCATTTAGTTAGGTCCAACAGAGACTTGTGTTGTGGCCCACAATTTTGCTGTCTACATACAGGCCAGGCAACAGCTCCATGTGTACTGTCCATTTTGAATACTCACACAGCAGGAAGACCAAACATTGAGAAGTGTGATTGTGTGATCAGCACCTTCAGTGTCAACAGAGCTTACTCTCAAGAACACAATGTGAGTGAGAGAAGCAATCTTCAGAAGTATGTTGTGGTGGCCAGCTGGAGTCACCTGAAAGGAGGAAACCCCACTGAGAAGGTGCCTCCTTAGGATTCAGCTGTAGGCAGGCAAGCCTGCACGGTATTTTCTTAATTAGTAACTGATGAAGAGAGGGCCCATCTCCTTGTGGTTCAGGATACATGCAAGGGCCACTACCTCCCTGCTAGTCTTGGGGCCTTTCTTTAATTCCAGCACTCAGGAGGCAAAAGCAGGCGTGTTCTGTGAGTTCAAGGCCACCCTGGTTTACAGAGCAGGTTCCAGGACAGCCAAACTACACAGAAAAACTGTCCCTATACAACCATCACCATAAAAAAAAAAAAAAAAAAAAAAAAAAAAAAGGAAAAAGAAGGAAAACAATACATTATTTAGAGATACATATGGTATATGGTAAAGAAGAGGGACAGACCAACATCTGATTGAAGAGAGTGTACTTGTAGTTAGGAGGGTCCTCTGCATATGGTCACAGCGGCTGGGTTGTCTAACATGTGAATACTTATGTACAGCTTCCACTAATGCTATTCTTATCAACTTGACTCTGGGCCCCACCTACCAAGTTACAAAACTTGTCCACATTTCACAAGGCAGGCTTACTCCCCTGAACCTTTGTGAAACCTACTCGCTTCAGAACAAGTAGGAGTTGGACTACCGCCTCCATACCCACACACCCACATGGAGTTCAAGATGGAGCCTTGCTTACTGTGTATGCCTAGAACCTATCTGTGACTTGCACTAGCACCCAGTAAATATTTGTTGAATGACTGAATGAATTCAAAGAAAAAAAGTCCTTGGGCTAGTGGGGTAGCTCAGTCTGTACAGTGCTTACCAGAGGATGAGGGCCTGTGTTTGATCTCCAGCTCCTACAAAACAAAACAAACAACAAAACTAGGCATGGTGGCCTATGTTTGTAATCCCAGCATTGAGAAGTCAAAGAGAGGTGGCTGCCTGGAACTTGCTGGCCAAGCAGCCTAGACTTCTCACTGCCCATACTTCCCCACATACACATACCTCACTTACGCATATACTTCCACACCAAAAATTTTTTTCATGGGGGAGAGGTTACAGGAAAGAGTGCTCAATGGTTAAGAGCACTTGCAGAGGACTCAGATTCATCTCCTGGCAGCTCATAGTAGTCTCTAACTCCAGTTTTAAGAGATCTTGGTGCCCATACATTACATACTCACACATACTTACAAAATTTTTAAAATAGTTATTATAAAAAGGTATTTATTAAGTAAGGTATTGGCGGCACACATCTTTAATCCCAGAACTTGTGAAGCAGAGGCAGGCAGATCACTGTGAGTTCGAGCCCAGTATGAGAGAAACCCTATCTTGAAAAAGACAAACAAAACCCAAACCAACCAACCAACCAACCAACCAAACAAACAAACAAACAAAATAAACAACAACAAAAAGGATTTATGTTAGGGGGCTAAAGAGATGGTTCAATGGTTAAAAGTCCTGGTTGCTCTAACATAGGACCCAGGTTTCATTCCCAGCACCAACATAGCTCAAAACTGTCTATAACTCCATTTCCAAGGGACCTGATGCTCCTTCTGACTCCGTGGGCATCAGGGATGCACAAGGTGCACAAACAGAATGCAAACAGGCAGAGTACCAATACACAAAATAATAAAATAAAAGACAGTAGGATAAATTATTTTTCTATTTAATTTTTACATTTTTTAAAGATTTATTTATTATTTAGACAACATTCTGCCTGCACATCAGATTTTACTATAGATGGTTATGAGCCACCATATGGTTGCTGGGAATTGAACTCAGGACCTTTGGAAGAAGAACGAGTGTTCTTAACCTCTGAGCCATCGCTCCAGCCCTAATTTTTGCATTTTTAATTGTGTATAGTGTGTGTGTGAGGTGTGCACAAGGAGGCCAGAGATATCAGATCCCCTGAACTGGAGTTACAGAAGGTTTTGAGCTACCTAATAGGGGTGCTGGGAACTAAACTTGGATTCCCTGCAAAAGCAGCATGTGCCATTAACCCCTGACTCATACCTCTAGCTCTCCAAAAGTAATTTTTAGAAGCAGGAGCAGGAGGAATAAAGGAAGGAAGCCTTGCTAAAGACCTTTTTAGTTGAAGGCATTTCAGCTTCTGAACACACTGAAAAAATTGAGGCAGGGGCAGCTAAGGTCTCACTAGGTCCAGCAGGAAGCCCCAAGCAGGGGTCAAGGAGGAAGGGTGGGAGGCTCTGACTCTAGGCCTCCACATTCCTCTGTTTGAACCAGAGCCAAGCCACACACAGCACATCTGGAGCCCACCCCACCCGGGGACTGAAGCCACTGCCCCTCCTTTAGCTCTGGCCATCTTTGGCCTTTGTCCTGGCTGCTCCCAACTCTGAGCCTCCCACCCTTCTTGACAGGCTAATCTGGGGCGTTGGCCCCAGGCTGGGGTCAGAGGCCTTGTCCTGTCTCTAGCTCATCTTTTCAGGTCCTCACTTGCCCATAAGAAAACCCTATTGGGCTTGGAAGAGGGGTGCTGACAGGCTGGTAGAGCCCCATGACCATAGCCTTTTTGTACCCTGTCTCCTCCTTTCCTGGCCTCTGGTGCCTCTGCTTCCTCTGGCTTTTCAGAGGTGAAAAAAGAACTTGGGGGGCATGAAATGGGAGAAATAACAGGAAACTGGAGCCTGGTGCCCAGTGCTGACCACACCCAGAGATTCCCTTCTGGAGCCCCACAAGCCCATCTTTGAAGAGATTGAGTCACCTCCAGGGTTCCTCCCCTCTGGGGTCCTGAGCTGGAAGAAAGAATCCTTTGCTGGGCCTGAAACACCAGACCCTCAGCCAGGGCAGCAATCCCAGAGCTATTGTCCTTGCCAGTTCCTCAGGGATTACCCTGACGCTGCCTGCAGCAAAGGCCATTCTGCAGATCCAGCAGCACTGCTCTGTGGTAATCTCACCACATGGCTCCCTGCTGCCCCAAGGATAGGAATCTTTGTGCTGCTGGAATTCCCATCTTGCAAGGGCATGAAGTGGCATGGCTCCTGGCCAGGAAACCCTGCGTGCCTGGTCAGTCTAGCTTGCTGGGTCAGGAGGAGGAGGGGTAGGGTTAGGTCAGAGCCAGTGTCCAGGAACTTCTTGCTGACTAGCCTGCAACACTTTGCCTTTGGAACACTCCTTCTTTTCCTATAGGATGAGACCTGTGTGTAACTGTAGCCTCCTCGGTTTAGGTCTCTGTGTCTGTCTCCTGAGCAAAGAAGGTAGCAGTGATGGTCAAAGCCCTGAGATAAATTCAGAGATGGAAGCTTCTGCCCCCACTTTCCCTTTTGGGCTTGTATGGTAGCAGGTCATCCCTGCCTTTTCATTTTGGAGACACTCAGTGCGCCTTAGACCTGGGAATCGTCCCTGCAGTTCGTGTCTGCTCCACAAGCAGATTCTGAGCCCCTATGCTATGTGCTCTTCAGAGCCTCGACCCAAGACCCAGTAGTTGAAACAGTTCTCTTGGCAAAGAGGTCTGACTTGCGTTTTCCAGGCCAGAAACAAATTTGGTTTTTGAGGGCACAGTACTCCCCAAGCAAGGCTGGTAACCAGCCCATCCAATCCCCAACAACAGGTATCTTTCTCTCAGGACTCCCCAGTTCAGAGTTGGGCACTCCCTATGCTGGGTTGCCTGGAAGGAGAACCGTGACTGATAGCCAAGAGCCTGAGCGAGGGGTGTGTGTGTGTGTGTGTGTCTGAGTCACCTTACACCACTTCAGTCACCTGCGCCTTCGGAAGAGGCAGAGTGGACTTGGGCAAGGTCCCACAGTGGGTGGATATTAATGTGGGCGGGGCCTGTTCTAGGCCCGCCCCACCGCCTAACTCTAGGGCCAGGGCCACTCAGGCCTCCCCGCTGCCGTTTGTCCGGGGTCCCCGCTGTGTTCTCCCGCGCGCTTCCATGGCCGAAAAGTTGGTGTCACTGTTGCCACCCCTGCTGCTGGCTGCGGTGGGCCTCGCCGGCCTCCTGTTGCTGTGCGTCCAAACCCAAGACGTCCGGGAGCCGCCCGCCCTCAAGGTGCACGCGCCCACAGCAGCGCTGGTCTAGGGAGAGGCTGGCCCGGGGCTAGGGGGTCCTGTCTGGGAATGTGGGCGCGCGCCGGAACGCCCTGCGCTCTCGCAGCAGCGCGGGACCACACGCGCAGTGCCTCCGGCCCGGTCCTAGGTTCCGCACTTCGTTTAACTGCGTTCCCGGGCTGACAGCGACGCTTCCGGAGCGCCACGGCACTGGAGGCAAAGTGGGAATTCCCCTGCTGCGGCTTCGCGATGAAGCTGCCAGCGCGGCGGAGGAGCTGTCTTCCCGCTCCCTTCAAGCGGTTCCCATTTCCCCTGGCTGTGGCAAGAACCCCCGCCCCAAGTCCAGCGCCATTTCCGGGCAGCACTTTGGACGCGCCGTTAGAGAAGGGCACTGGTTCTAGGTTCAGTTCCAGATATGGGACAACATACATAGGGGACCTCCAACCCCTCTCAGACCGGTGTCTGGAAGGTGACACTTGAAAGAAGGCAAGGAAACTTGCTGGTTGTAAAGGGGTCTCCACCACCAGCCCTCAGGAGCCTTAGCCTAGAGGCTGGCACCTTTAATCTTTTGTGCTGAGTTTCTATGGGGAGTGGACATCCCAGGCGCAGGGACCCAGAATGGAAGTGGGGAGAGCTCTGTAGCCCCGCGGATCAGCTGTGGGATGTGGGAGTTGGATCACTGTATCTGGCTGGCTCTGGAGGAGTTCCCTGGTGTGCAGGAGGACTGGAGCAGCCCTTTCCCAGGCTAGAATTGGCACATGCCCCAGGCTGGTGTTCAGCCAGGCTCCCTCAACTGGAGCCCAGCCTCTTAGAGCTGCAAAGAAGGCCCATCTAGCACTCCCCCTCAGCGCTACAAAACCAACCTCTCCTTGTCCGTGGCTTTTAGGCCCAGGCCAGGACATGGATTGGAGCTCTACTACAATCAGCCTCAGCCATATCTTCTCCCCCATTCCCGGGTTCAGCTAAGGTCTCAGCAGATACAGGCAGAGTGGGGAAAGAAGAGTATTGGTTGGGTTTGCTTCCCTTGAACTGAGCGAAGTTTCAGGTGTGGTCTTGGGACCCTTTGGTCCTGGCACAGCCCTTCAGTTGCTGTGAAGTCTAAGGGTTTCCTCATGTCCCTCAGGCTGATTTACCACTCCCACCCACAGTATGGCATTGTTCTGGATGCTGGCTCTTCACACACATCCATGTTTGTCTACAAGTGGCCAGCAGACAAGGAAAATGACACAGGTATCGTGGGCCAGCACAGCTCTTGTGATGTTGAAGGTGAGTATGGTCTTGGGTTCCTGTTCAGTCTTAGCTTTGCAGGTCCAAACAGTTATTCTCCTCTGCTTGCTGCTAGGTGGAGTTCACTTGAGGAGGCAGGAGTTAAAAAAGAGAGGCTGGGTTCTCTGGACCTGGGAGGGGCTGTGGTTCTGGATAGAAGCCCTGGAGAGCAGGTGGAAGCCTCAGGGTTTAATGTCCCAAGACAAATCTCCTTACACTGTAGATGAAGCAGGTGGGTCTCTGAGGATCTAAGGGTGTATCCAGTCAGGTTCTATGGAAACTAGGCTAGGTTGACAATGCCCAAGCCTTTCTCCTGGCACCTGTGCCCACAGTCACTAGGCAGGTGGCAGCTTCAGAGACTCTGGGTGGCCTGGGCCTTTGTCTTCAAATTGGGTATATCTGAGATTAAGCTGGAAACAGCCTCATTGGCCTATGTTCCTCCTGGAAACTGTCCACCAAGCCTGGACCCAACTCCTTCTTCCCTCTAGGTGGGGGCATCTCCAGCTATGCAAGTGACCCTTCTAGGGCAGGCCAGAGTCTGGTTGAATGTCTTGAGCAGGCACTTCAGGATGTGCCCAAAGACAGACATGCCAGTACACCACTCTATCTGGGAGCTACAGCAGGCATGCGCCTACTCAAGTGAGTACCTATTCCCTGACTTCAGCAAAGTAGAACTCCCCTCCCTGGGCAAGCTTTCAGGAGTGCCTGGCAGAGGGCATCTGGGTATGAGCTCCATCAGCATCCTCCCCATTCCACAGCCTGACCAGCCCAGAGGCCACAGCCAGGGTGCTTGAGGCAGTGACACAGACGCTCACACGGTACCCCTTTGACTTCCGTGGTGCTCGCATCCTTTCAGGACAGGATGAAGGGGTGTTTGGCTGGGTGACTGCCAACTACCTGCAGGAGAACTTCATCAAGGTGGGCCCTGCAGCTGGCCCAAAGAACTTGGGGTTCTGCAGGCCTTGGTTGCCCACTGTCTAAATGCCTCTACTCTCCTTAGTATGCCTGGGTGGGCCGGTGGATCCGGCCAAGGAAGGAAACACTGGGGGCCATGGACCTTGGAGGTGCCTCAACACAGATCACCTTTGAGACGATCAGCTCATCTGAAGACCCAGACAGTGAGGTCCATCTGCGGCTCTATGGTCAGCACTACCATGTCTACACCCATAGCTTCCTCTGCTATGGTCGAGACCAGGTTCTCCAGAGGCTGCTGGCCAGTGCCCTCCAGGTGCCTCTCCAACCTCAACCACCACACCATACTGCTGCCTTCTGGAGGCAGGGAGGTAGAAGGGACCAAAGGCAAGAGAGCAGAGCCAGAAAAACAGCACATACTGACTTCAGGGACCTTAAGAAAGGCCTGATTTTTTCTACAGATGCACACATGGCTGTGAGGCCCACAGTGGGTCAGACCTCCATAATAATGTGCCCCTTCAGCCTCAACCAACAGCTAGCTTCTTCAGCTAGGGAAATGGGAGGCAGGGATGACTTAGTGGTATAGAGGGTCAGAAATGGGGGCCTAGAGTAAGAAGGGTCAGGGATCATCTCATAGAACCTTGAATACATGGCCAAAGTGTTTGCTGTTTGCTCAGCAGGTAATGGTTAGCCATGATTGTTTATGAACACAAAAATGACATTGCCCAAATGGGATTTATGGACAGTTTGTCGCGCTGCTTCTCTCAAGTGGGGAATTCTATCTGTACTCTGGTTAACTTCCTAGATCCATCACTTCCACCCCTGCTGGCCAAAGGGCTACTCCACCCAACTGCTGCTCCAGGAAGTCTATCAGTCACCATGCACTAGAGACCAACGCCCCCAGACCTTGAACAGCAGTGCCACTGTCAGCTTGTCTGGGACCAGCAATGCTGCCCTTTGTCGTAACCTAGTCTCTGGTCTCTTCAACTTTTCCTCCTGCCCCTTTTCCCAATGCTCCTTCAATGGGGTTTTCCAGCCCCCTGTGACTGGGAACTTCATAGTAAGTCTGGGTCGATGGCTGTCAGGGCAGGAGGCCCTAAGCATCTGGGGTCTGGTGATAGTATGACTGCACACTGTTTTCTCCCACAGGCATTTTCTGCTTTCTACTATATTGTGGACTTCCTGAAGACAGTGATGGGACTGCCTGTGGGAACCCTACAGCAGCTGGAGACAGCCACAGAAATAATCTGCAACCAGACTTGGGCTGAGGTGAGGCCTGTCCCTCAAATTCTCCATGGCTGTGCAGAAGGCTTTCCCCTTCAATTGCTCTTTATGTAGAGAGACTCAGTCATTTTGGAATGCTGACTGTAATAGATAGACTCAAGGAATGGCCAGGTTGATGTGGGGATAAGCTAGAATTTCAGCAGACTCCTCAGGGCCCAATTCTACAATTAAGGTCTGGAGAACAAGTGGGACAGGCTCTGTGGCCAAAGGGAGCTCGAAGCAGACACAGACAGAAAGGTAGGTTCCTAGGACAGAGTGTGGAAAAGAATGTCCCACCAGTGGGAACGGGATACTCAAGAAAGACTTAGAAGGGTTTGGGTTATGCCTGGAGGAACTGAAGATGCCACCAGATTTCTGGCTGAACATTAGGTCCAGGTAAGAAAGAATAGAGAGATCTGGATAGCTGGAGTGTGAGCTGGCTACCATGTTTCCTGGAGAAATAGTTTCCCTAATCTTTAGCATCCACAAAGGTCTCAGAAAAGTGGGGCCAGTAGGTCATAAGGCAACACTTAACCCTGGATCTCCATTTCTTTGATTATGAAGCAAGGATGCGACTACCCTCTATTTCCTAGTGACCATCCTCACTCTCCTCTCCATTTGGCTGTTCAGAGGGGAGGGCACAGGTCTTCCAGCAGTCATGTGGTCTGCCTGGAAAAGGTGTCTTGGATGGACTAGGGTTTTCTGTGTATTTCCAGCCCTTATGCCTTTCTTGGCCTGAACTGTAAGGAAGGTGCTATACCTCGAGGGTCATAGCTCCTTGTGGCCTTGAACCTAACCTTGTCACTTTTTTAGCTTCAGGCCCGAGTGCCAAGGCAGGACACCCGCCTGGCTGACTACTGCGCGGGAGCCATGTTCATACATGCGCTACTGAGCCGTGGCTACGGCTTCGACGAGCGCTCTTTCAAGAGAGTGGTCTTCCAAAAGAAAGTGGGTAAATGGCAAGGTCAGAGGGATTCGGGATGCGGCCTTTTGGAGGCTGATGTCACGCTCCCTTTTAGGCCGCAGACACAGCTATCGGTTGGGCGCTGGGCTACATGCTGAATTTGACCAACCTGATTCCCGCTGACCTCCCGGGACGACGTAAGGGAACTCACTTCAGCTCCTGGGTCGCTCTCCTTCTGCTCTTTGCGGTCCTGATCTTGGCGGCGCTGATCCTGCTCTTGCGCCAGGTGCGCTCTGCCAAGTCCCCAGGCGCCCTCTAGGGGCGCACTGGGAGCTGCTCCCAACTCTGTGTTATTCCTCTCCCAGTGCATCTTGGACCCCTAATTAACCTGGGACTAGACATTCCGATATCTACCTTTACAGAAAGCCCAGATGTCTCCCTCCCACCCGCAGTTCCCTCCAGCCCTGAGCTCGCAATTAATTCTCCCCTTTATCTCTTCCTGAGGTGTCAGATTCATGGTGAGGTTCATTCAGATTGTCAGTGCCCTGGTAACTTCCTGTCTGTAGTCTGGGCCTTTGGAAAGGCAAGCATCAGAACCTGCAGGCTAGAAGTCAGTTCAATACCTGCTTGTAAAAATTTTGTAATAAAAGATTTTTCCTAGAGCACTGAAGTGTTTATAGGATGGCACATCTTTCCGTTGCCAGTTCCTCCTTTCAGCTGTGTTGGTTATTCAGATAAAACCTGCTTCCAAGATACTGACTTCTCTTGCTTCCTTCCTTTCTGTACCAGACCTGAGGCAATGAAAGCACTCCTTTACACTGGTTTGGGGTTTTCCCAGAGTCTGAGTCTTCTCTGACTGACAGAAACCTTACAAACTTCAGGTCCCCCTTGATGACATTGGTAGGAACTGAGGCTGTATCCCAAGTTTTTTTTTTTTCAACTGCAGCAGAGTGTCTTGAAGTGTCAGCAGCCCTGCAAAGTCAGAACCTGCATCCACAGCCTAAGATTCTGTGTTCTCTAGGTGGAAAAGCATGGTCTCGGTAGGCCTCTTTTATGAGAAATGAGCTCAGACACTAATTACTGTTCAGTAAGTCAGTGCCTTAAGGGCTGGATTGGGGGAGGTCCTTGTTTTACACACACACACACACACACACACACACACACACACACACACACAGTCATTCTTTAACATGTTTTGCAAACCTGCAACTGCCAACCTCCACTTTGATTCTGTGAGCCTGAGGGACGGAAAGAAGTATAGGGCTGGGGAACTGAATCTTGTATTTTTCTATTTCTCATTTTAAGACAGGTTTTCACTATGTAGCCCTGGCTGGCCTGGAGTTTAATATACAGACCAAGCTGGTGTCAAACTCAACAAGATCTGTCTACTTCTGCCTGTCGAGTGGTGGGATTAAAGGCAGGCCCCACCGTGCTTAGCTTCAACATTGCCTTCTTGATTCAACCAGGGGGAGGTCTCTGGATGAGGTAGGATGTGTTCTTAGGGGACTGTAAGTGAAGGCACTGTGGATGCTCCATGTGTCCCTCAAGGGAGTGGTAAGCCATTACCTGAGACCGTGACCACCTTGGACAGCTCCCAGACGACTGATGCCCCCTGGTGGCCATACTCCGCGGGAGCGATCCAGTTGTAAGCTTGCTGTGTCTGGAGAAAGGGGCCCCTAACAGGACACAGAGGGACGGGGCTCAGTCTAGACGAGCTGTACCGCCCCAGCAGGAGGAGCGCGCAGGCGCACTCCGGACACTTTTCTCGAGCCGCAGCGCCTCGATCCCATCCCGGATCCTTTGCCGCAACGTCAACGCCCCCGCCTCCTCTTTTCCTCTTCCTCCTCCGCCCCTCTCGCGTCCCGGCTTCTCCAGTTCCGGTTCCCGGAGCCGGTACCCAGGCCGGGACCGCGGGGTGCCATGCTGCCCGGGTGGTGGCGCTGAAGCATGGCGACGCCGGTCCCTCCGCCTTCCCCGCGGCACCTGCGGCTGCTGCGGCTGCTGCTCTCTGGCCTCATCCTCGGAACGGCCCTGAACGGTGCCACCGCCCGCCGCCCGGGTGAGCGAGCGCACTAGGCTCTGCGGGGCGCTCCGGGCCGGGATTGCTAGGCTGGGAATCTTGCTCGCCGGCGCCGCCCTGGTTTTCCCTGCCACCGCCCAAGCCCGCAGGCCAAGGAGGCTCAGTCCGCTTCGCATGGTTTGGGTAAATAGGTCAGGCCCGTTGAAGGCCATGATGGATGAATCTTCTCTCAGGTCCCTGGAGGCGAACGTAGATTTCACGCGCTTCTGGTCTTTGTCTTTGGGTCCCTGAGCCAGTTTGGCGAGTCTCCGGACGACTTTCTGGGTCTGCAGCCATCTGGTTCCTGGTGGCCTTTTAAGGGAATCCTGTGTCTTTGTTTCTGTGTCTCTGGGGCTTCCAGTTGTCTTGTCAGGGTTGTTCTTGGTGTCTGTGGGCCTTGCCTGTCAGCCGTGTGTGTGGTGTAGTGTAGGGGGGTTTCCCATTGCAGAGTCTAAGGGTTCCAGGCCTACTAGAGTCTTGTTCCAACTTAGTGGGGTCAAGCTTCCCCCATCCCCTGCCCTGGAGGGCATGTGCCACCCAGACTGGAAGAACAGTCTTGACAGATGGGTTCTGAAGCTACAGGATCCAAATCATATCTCCCTGAGGGGAGTGAAGTGGAAGAGGGTACCTATATGTTTACTGAGTTCTTCTGGAGTTCTCTAGGGTAGGTGCTTTGAGCCTGGCTTACAGGTGAGGAAACTGAGGCACAGAGAGGTGACTGACTGGTATGTGGCACAACTGGAATCGTTATGGATTTGGGGGCCTTAAGAGCTGGGCAGACCTCCTCTTGGACAAGCAACCCTGGACTGAAGGTTGGCATGGCTGGAAGAGATTCTTGAGAAGGGTGGAGGGCCAGACCAGGATGAGCCAGAGGGAGAGGAGGCCACACACTAAAAAAGTCTTCCTCCCAGGTGGAGCCTCCTCAAGAATGGGACTAAGGTGCAGTGCTGAATCCCTTGGGAAGGCACTGGCCTCTGTAGCTGAATGCAGACACCTGGCATGGCCCCTCCCTAATCATCCCCTAACACACCTGGTGCCGAGGAGGGGCCAGTAGCCCAGCACAGGTAGAATATCAGGTACTCTCTAGCTGCCATTGTTCCTGGACCTTTCTGCCCAGGATTAAACAATATGCTGGTGGGCTAAGAAGGCCCTACAGCCCAGAGCCAGTACTGTGCTACACCTCTACTATAGGTCTGACCAGGTTTTCAACTTTGGGGGCAGGGACTGTCTGGAGCCCACCTGGTGGGGGGAGTCCATGTGCCTCCTGACACAGGCTTAATGTTTAACTATCCTAAGACCAGGCCAGTCAGTGTCCTTATTGTATCTAGCCAGCTCAGTGGCTTCTCCGTGCACTGAAGATGAAAGACTTCTGGACTAAGCATTTGTTCTGTGGCTGCTAGACTGCACGCTAGGCTTGTAGGAGTCTAGGGAGAAGCCCCAATGTTTAGGAGAAATGGCTACCCAACATCTTTGCTGCTCCTGAGCCAAAGAAAACAGAGCTCTGCCCTTAGTAGTAATCTGGATGAAAGGGCCTGTCTTACTCTGAGCCACACAAAGGTCAAAAGCCAGGCTTGGAGGACTATACAGTTCTTCCTTGGAGAGCTGACTGGACAGTTAGGGTCAGTTTTCCTTTAAGTGTAAGACTTAGGCCTGGAAGCAGGACTGTGGGGAATAGGTGGGGCAGGACAGCTCCCATAAGACTTGGGACTGTTTGCTCTCTGATCCTGAGATTTGGCAGTAGGAAGGCAGGGCCTGCCCAAAGCAATGGCTGAAGCCAGGCCTGGCCAGCTTTGTGGAGGGAGGGGTTTCTGTGCAGAGCTGCTGTTGTACTGGAGGTCAGCCAAGTGGGCTGCGATGAGCCCTGCCTCTTCTTCTTTCTCAGATGCTACCACCTGTCCTGGAAGCCTGGATTGTGCCCTGAAGAGGAGGGCAAAATGCCCACCAGGGGCACATACCTGTGGACCATGCCTTCAGTCTTTCCAGGAGGACCAGCATGGGTTCTGTGTGCCCAGGATGCACAAGTCTTCTGGTATGCAGAATATAGGTTCAGGGAAAATGGATGAGTGTGATATCTTTTCTCTCTTTCTGCTCTGCCCTGTGGGTCCATACCCGTAGGGATATTTTTTATTTGTTTGTTTGTTTTTCAAGATAGGGTTTCTCTCTGTAGCTGTGGCTATCCTGGACTTGCTTTGTAGACCAGGCTGGCCTTGAACTCACAGAGATACACATGCCTCTGGCTCCCAAGTGCTAGGATTATAGGCATACACCACTGCACCCTGCTATCCCTAGGGATCTTATAGCCTTGTGGGAATGGCCACCCATTCCTCTGAGCATCATGGAATGCTCAGGTCCAAGACCAAGGTAACTGGAACTCTTGTCTCTCTAGGAGTGACAAGCCTCTTCATCCTTTCAGGATGGTGCTGGCCCATTGTTGAACTAGGCTGAGGCCTACGGCAGTTGTGTCTTCCTTGGGAGGAGAGGTTACAGTGTTAGGGCCTGGATCATGATAGGTCTCCAAAGCTTTCCCAGTTGTCTACTCTCTAGGCCACCTACTCTTCTCTTTTGCTTGCTTATCTTGTGCACTTCATATAGCATGTTTGAAGTGCTAGCCCTGTGCTAGTGGTCACTGCCCTTCAGTCTATCTGGATGTCACTTCCGGTGTGTAAGGGCTTTTAACCTGAGAGGAGGTGGGGATGTGGCCAGCCAGGCTTTCTGGGACGAGGGGACACTTATCCCAATAAGTGTCGGAGCATCTTTTTGTACTGTGAGGTTCAAAGTGAGAACCAGTTAGGATCCTACCATCACCACCCCTAGCCCTCTGCAGGCATCTTTTCTGACTGCTTAGGAGTAGCGGAGATGTTTGGGTATATTTTGGCTTCTTTCTGTTCCTTCAGGATTTTCTTTCTCCTCTTGGGCAGAGATGGTGACTTGGGGTGGGCAAGGTAATTTGTGTATTGTCTTCTAGTGTTCTGCCTACCCCTTGTGCACACTAGCTAAGATAAGGGATTTCATTCCTTTTTCATTCCTTTTTCTTCTTGTGGGTCTCTGCACACACCTCTAGCCTTCCTCTTCACTTTTCTCCACTCTTCTCCCCTCCCCCTCTCCTACCTGGAACTCAAAGAAGCCCCCTCAGTTGTCACCATGGTAATCCAGGATGGTGAAACTTTGGATGGGTCCCTTTATCTCAGGAGGCTGTCAGCTGCAGGTGTCAAGGGTCTGGGGCCTTTCTATATGATGGCCCCTCACACTCCTCAGGGGAGGGCCTGCCCCAGCCCAGACTGGAAGAAGAGATTGATTCTCTGGCCTTGAAACTGGCACTGAAAGAGAAGGAGGCTGGTCATTCAAGGTTTACAGCACAGCCCTTGCCTGAGGCTACGCAGAAGCTCCTGGAGCCTGGTGAGCCCCCTCCCTCCCTTCCCACCCCTGTCCCACTAGCACTACCCTGATCCTGCCTCTTTGACCAAAGGCTACCCTTTGCTGACCTTACGGCCATACCTAACTTTAGCAGCTACCCTAGGATTCTCACAGTGGGGTCAAGGACTGGAGCCCGGCCTCCCCACCACTCATGGAACCTCACCACCCACTCCCCACACCTCCTTGAGCTCCTCAGCATCTTCTGGGCCTGTGCAGATATCCCCACTGAAGCCCCAGGGCGGGCATGGAAATGGCCTCACCCTTGGTAGGTTTAGGTTGGCAATAAGGGGATTTGGGGAGGCAGACCTTCCTCAGGCTCCTCACAATGCCCCTCTCTCCCACAGTGCTGATCCTGGCTTTCTGCTTGGCGAGCACAGCTGCCCTGGCTGTGGCAGCCCTCTGCTGGTGTAGGTGAGCTGTGGACTCCAGCCAGTGGGAGGGGTTTGACCTTCAGCTCCATAATTACCTTTTCAACCCTAAACCCCTTCAGGCTGCAGCGAGAGATCCGCCTGACTCAAAAGGCTGATTATGCTGCCACAGCCAAGGGGCCCACTTTACCTACAACACCACGAATCTCTGTAAGTAGCTCCACCCCCACAGGGTGTGCTCTTATTCTGTGCACCCCAACATTTGCTTAACATTTCCGCCCCCTTCTATAGCCTGGGGATCAGCGGCTGGCTCACAGTGCTGAGATGTATCACTACCAGCACCAGAGACAGCAGATGCTGTGCCTGGAGCAGTGAGTGCCCCCAGCCTGAAGTGGCAGCATTTCCCACCCACACCTCACCCGACCATCCTTCCCTACCTGCTTGCAACACTTCCTAGTTCTCCACCCCAGCCCCCCGCCCCCACCCAGGGCAGTAGTACATCGATCACCTACCTCTGGGCCCATGTCCTGGAGAATGCTTAGAGGACCTCATTGTCTCACTCTCATCAGACATAAGGAACCTCCAAAGGAACTGGAGTCAGCCTCCTCTGATGAGGAGAATGAAGATGGTGACTTCACCGTGTATGAATGCCCAGGCCTGGCACCGGTAAGTGAGTGCCCCAGAGGGACTGAGGGGGTTGTCTGCTGGGGCTTCTCTTCATCTTGCCATCTCAAGCCTTGCTGCCAGGAGCTTGACCCAGTGTTTTCACAGACAGGGGAGATGGAGGTGCGCAACCCACTGTTTGATCATTCCTCGCTGTCAGCGCCAGTGCCAGGTCCCCATTCCTCACCTCCGCTGCAGTGACTCCTAGGCAACTGATGCCCACTTGCCTGCAGCCCACAGCCCACTGGTGGGGAGAAGCAAGTCCTGGTGTTCCCCATGAAAAGGACAGCATCATGTCCCTCTGCATGCGTTTGGCAGGAGGGAGGCACCAGGCCCTGGGCTCCCTTGCCAGGGAAATTCTCTACCTTATGTGGGAGATCTAGCATTTGCTTTCACTTTCTCTGTCTGGTCTGAACCCTCAAACTGGAGATACTAGTCCAGGAATGCTTGAGCCCAGCCGTGGATAGAGAGTTCTGGAGATAAAAGCCAATTAAAGTCTTTTTCAAACCTGTGAGTGGCTTCTGGGTTCACTGATGCTGTGTTTAGTCCACAGTCACCTGCTCCTTGGGCAGCCTTGGTGGATGGATATTCAGTGGAGGCCTGGGACCTTCTCCTGTACCTCTAGAGAGAGGTGGTACCTCTGTAAGGGACTTGGAGTCTGGAGGCTACTCAAACCCAGGACAACCCTCACCCTCTCCAATAGGAACTCACTCCTGCTGCCCAGTCTTCTGACCCAGAGTTTAGGAATAGTAAGGTATACTGTAGGGCTAGAGTAGCCAAGATGGCCAGATTCTGAAGATTCTATGTTGCTGAGTACCAGACCAACCCCCAATAACTCTATCCTGTGGGATAAAAAGGGTTGGGAGAGGGAGCAGTGTGCATGGCTGTGGGTACCCAGTTTCTCCATTCCTGCTTGTTATCTGCCTAGGACAGAGAAGAGCATACAGCCTGTGTGATTCTTAAAGGGGAAAGACTCCTAGACCCCTGTAATGTCTTGATGGGGGAGGGAGACAGGCTAGACAGATGGACCTGAGAAACACAGTGTAGCTATAGCAAGGTGCATGAGGCAGGGATTTAGGTAAGGGGTGCCTAGAGCCTTACTGTCCAAAGCATGTGTAGAACCAGGATTTGACCTGCCACTCTTAGGGTTTAGAGAATGATCTGTGACAGCAGCCATACTTATAGTTCTGAATGAGTGAATGTATTTGTGTGTGTCTGTGTGTCTGGTCTGTTTTTTTTTTTTTTGTTTGTTTGTTTGTTTGTTTGTTTGTTTTTTGAGACAGAAATTTCTCTGTGTAACACCCCTTGGCTATCCTAGAACTCATTTTGTAGACCAGGCTGGCCTCGAACTCGTAGAGATCTGCCTGCCTCTGCCTCCCGAGTACTGGGATTAAAGGTGTGCCCAGCTAAGTGAATGTATTAAGAGATGTGTCCTTACTCCTTTTGTTCTTTTCTCTACTAGCTGTAGGGATGGGTCAGGAGCCTGCTGACCACATGGCTACCTTTGAAAGCCTAGGGAGCATGTCCCTTCATTAACTTTCCTTCCTGCAGGATGTGCTCTGGCTACAGTCTAATCTCCGAAGACTCTGTGGCCTCTCTGATCAAGAAGATAGGTGAGCTGGGCATGGCATGACATGCACTTGGGAGGCTCTATAAGTTCAAGGTCAAGTTCTAAGTAGCAAGCTCCAAGCCAGCTAAGGCTATATAGTGAGACTCTGCCAAAAAAGAAAGAAAGAAAGAAAGAAAGAAAGAAAGAAAGAAAGAAAGAAAGAAAGAAAGAAAGAAAGAAAGAAAGAA